GCATTGACCCGATGGCAGTGAGCCTGGCTGGCTTTTCTGTTAGAGAGCTACACAGAGCCATGAGTTGGAGTGGGGGAGGTTTCACCTGGCTTGGTCATTAGAAGGGAGTGGGGTCCAGGGGTAAAACTCCCGCCTTCCATGAGGAGGCAAAGGTTCTATTCCCAGCCAGGGCACCTGGCGTGCAGCCACTATGCACCTGCCCGTGGAGGCTTTCTTGTGCGATGAGGGCAGGCAGGTTTGGATGGGGTTTCTGTGCTTTGGTAGATCTGGTCGAGAGGCCAGGCAACCTACTTCCCAAAGCTCACTGACAGCCTCACACACACACATGCGGCCCAGTTCCCCTGGCCTGAGGTTGCCAACGGAATCGTGCACCCAGCACCCCATGCGGCTGGAGTCACCCGTGTATGTGGTTACACTCGACCAACGCCTTCTCTCTGAACGCCCGGGTTTTGCACGCTCCTTCTGATACTGCCTTGTCATTAAGGTGGAGAACACAGGAAATAACAGAAAAAAACCACAGAATGCATAAGATGCCCACGATGAGAACAGTAATGACAACAACAACCACAGAGGGGTGTTTAAAACCAAAGGGCAAGATGAGAGGGCTTCACAAAGTTCATGGAAAAGTGGAAAGAAAAGATAATGGCGTTTTCCCAAGGACGTTCTGAAACCCGTAGGGCACCACCTCCGGCCCACAGCGACCCCGTGCCCACCACGACGAAGCACCGCCGGTCCTGCACCACACTGCTGTGTGTGAGCCACTGGTGGCCCCCAGCCTCAGCTCCAGCGGGCAAAGGAGAAGGGGACAAAGAGTGAGTGCTGCCCTGCCCGGCCACCAGTACGCAGCTGGGCACCAGCCATACCTGCAGCGGCCAAGCCTAGCCCACCTCCCAGGCCCCTGCTTCCTCCCCTGCCAAGTGCCCAGGTCATCTACACACGGCCTGCCTACCCCAGCCCCCAGCAGGGGCTCCCAGAGACTCCCATGCACGCCCACCCCTACCCTGGGGGTGGGAGCGACTACTGCTGGGCGGGGACAGCTCTCCACCCCTAAACACGACAAGCTGGATTCCCTCCCAGCCTGGGCACATGTGACACCCCTTCACCTAAGTACCCCCAACCCAAGATGAGGACCCCGAGGAAAAGAAACAGGGTGTGTGCCCCTGGGACCTTGGGAAATGGCCAGTGAACCCCAACCCAAAGCTGAGCCCTAGGAGGGGGTGTTGGGGGTCCTTTCCTTCCCTGTCCTGCCCTCTCCTGCTGCCCTGCCCCCACCCCCTGCTCCCAACTATGCCCCTCCCTCCTGACCCCTGGGGAGGGCGCCTCAGCTCCTGTGTGCAGACCCAGCCCCTCCATACGCACAACTTCCAGAAGTTTCCTGCATGCCCACTTTGCCTGGTGCCTGCTCCCCTCTCAGATGGGCCCCCACCTAGCTTTCTTCTGCCCAGCCCTGGGGCCAGGCCACACTCCCAGACAGGTGGCCCCACCTCTCACCCTGCCTGACCACAGGTGGTCTCCCTCCCCACTCCTCCAGAACCATCTGGGTCCCTGGCATTGTGCACCCAGGGTCTGGAGCAATCACCCAGGGCCAGTGCTGCCCTTCTGCACAGGGACTCAGGGGACCCCTGAACTGCACACCCCGGCACCCGCTTCCCTGGTACCTCCATGTGGAAGTGGTCGCCCTGGGGCAGGGTCCCCCTTCCAGAAGCAGAGACGGCAGTAGGGGCTGCTGCTGTGCACCAAGCAGGCTGGACACGTCCCCTGCCCCCGCCGGGCTCTGCAGCCCTCCACCCGGCAGGCTCAGCAGTCAGGCAGGCCACTACTCTCACAGGCCCTGGGACGCAGGCAGCCGGGTGCTGAAACCCCGGCCCGCTCTGGATGGACAAAGGAGGCAGTGTGTGGGACCACAAAGGGCTCTTCCCCTGCTGGCCAAGGCTGAGAAAGAAGTGGTTCCTGGGCCCGGGCGCTGGGCCAAATCCTGAGACACCCCCTTCCAAGCTACCCCTTGTCATGCAGTGCACACTGCCCCTAGGTCCCCACACCCTGGGTCCCCAGCCCTGGCTCTCAGCCATGACACCCTCCCCCACCCCCAGCCACCCCTCACCAGGCAGTGCACACCGTCCTTGGCCCACATCCTGGGTCCCCCACCTCCCTGCAGAGCCACCCCTCGCCTGCGGTACACTCTGGCCCCACGCCCCATCCTGGATCCCTGACCCCAGCCCTTAGACCATGCCCAGAGTCACCCCTCAGGGCGCAGTGCACAATACCCCCTCCCCCCTGCCCAGGTCCCTGGCATCTCCCCCCTGCCCATGTCTTCACCCCTGGCCCAGGCCCCCGGCCCTCACCCCGCTGTCCCCACCGAGGGTCTGTGTGGCCATGTCCCGGCTCCCCCAGGAGCTGCCCTTGTTGCTAAGCCACGTTCCTGAGGGGAATCACAGGGTTGAGCAAGACTGGAGTGTTCCCTCCCTCCCCCACGGCTCCCGGAGTCCACTGGCCCTGCCAAGTGAGTGCTGGGTGGTGCTCAGACCCCAGACCTCCGCCGGGCAGCTAGGGGCGGGTGCAGACCCCAGGTTCAGGGGATGGACATCAACGGCAGCCCAGCTCAGACCTCACACCTAGAAGCCCCCTGCCACGCACACACCTGGGACCCAAGGGCCCCCTGAAGGCTACCGATACTGCCCATCCCCACGCCTGATGGCAGGGCCGAAGGTGGGGCCTGTCCAAGAAGCAACCCTTGTTCTGCATGCCCACCCAGGGCCTGAGGGGCAGCAGGACCCCAGGCACTGCTGACTTGCAGCTCTGCCTAGAGCCCCTGGGCACCCCAGCCACAAGACACTCAGCATCCCAGGGCCCCCACTTCCCGAGGCTTGGGTGGGCCCATGTGCTGCTCAAGGCAGCCCAGGGGTGTTTGGTGCCCTGCCCCCCACTGCTCAGCCCCAACTCCCAGCACAGGAGCCAACATCTGTCCCTGGTCACCATCTCTGTCACCCCACCTGTGGCCCCAAGAAAGCCGAGCCCACCCCTGTGGAAACATAACAAGCTTCCCAGCTGACCCGGGTAAGAGGCAGGGTCTCTCCTGTCTGCCCC